ATGTGGCTTAGCCAGGCGGTGGTGGCGCACGCCTTTAATCCCAGGACTCAGGAGGCAGAGCCAAGCGGATCTCCATGAGTTCGAGGCCAGCCTGGTTTATAGAGCGAGATCCAGGACAGGCTCTAAAACTACACAGAGAAACCTTGTCTCGAAAAACCAAAAAAGAAAAAAGAAAAAACAAGAAAACCAGAGCATGTGAGGCAACAATTAACTGAGGGATTTGCATAAACTATCTAAATAGTGTATTCTTACTGATGACCTTTCCCTCTAATTGGACCTCCTCTTTGTAAATGTGGACTATTAAGAGTCCATCTGCATATAAAAAATAAATAAATCTAAAAAACAAAATAAAATAAGAAAGGTTAAATACAGTAGGACTCCAGGTTGCGTCTAGCCTAGGATGTGAGTTTGGGCAACACCAGCAGGTTGTACTAATGTGAAGACTCCTGGTTCACCCCAAGATCTCGGCTCGGTGGAGCAGGGGTACAGTACTGCTGTCAACCCTTAAAGAGGCAGTGAGTAGGCTGGCAATTGGCTTAGTGAGTAAAGACAACTGCCACCAAATCTAGAGCCTGAGATCAATCCCTGAGAAGTCATCCTGTGACCTCCACACATGTGCATAGCATGCTTATACATACCTACCCACATACACGTTGGCACACATAAATAATAAAGATTTAAAAAAAAAAAAAAAGACTCAGTGCAAGTTAGGGCAAATAGTTCCTTGGCTCCTAAGAACAAACCCTGGCCTGACGGAGGCCACACTGGCTCTCTGACGATGACAACCTCCTCAGAAAAAAAACCAACACTGACAAAGGACTAAACCCTGACACCAGAGCTGGACCAAGTAGTGGCAGCCCCCAGCCTCACCTTGCTCCCTCTAACCAGACATTACACTCTTCCACGCATGACCCATTTCTTTAAAAAAATATTTATTAGGGTGAGCTAACAATATAGAAAGCACTAAACCGATGTGACAGGGCATCCTTTCAAAAGTGAGCCCCCTGTATAATTACACAGCTTCTTCAGTTCCCTTCCACCAACAGCTACTCCCGGAGACGGGAGCACCATGTCCTTCTACAACCCACTCAACAATCAGGCTTGTCACAGAAGAGTTCCCAAACGCATCTCTCTTCTGATAGGAGGAAATGTTCCTAGAAAGTTCCCACGTGACAGTTTCACGCTGGCTAGCAGCTGCACGTCCACACACCAGTGAGGGACAAACCAATCCCACTTCTGCTGAGAGGATTCCTAGAAGAGCCTTGCACTCAAGACAAATCCCCACATCTCCCTGGAGTAGGACGACGACTAGTCCAGAATGTGGGAGAATCTAGAAGAAATTGAACCGAAACTCTTCACCAGTCGAGTCCACAGCGGCCTTGGTTCTTCCTGCTGCACGAGGCCTGCAGACCTTTCCACTCTTCTTTCTGGCCGCCTCACCTACAAGCTGTACCTGGGCTGAGTGGGGAGCTGTAGGAAGGGGGAGGGAAGAGTCAGAACTGAGTAACCGCTAACATTATCCACGCAGTTATGACTGCCTGCGCAACATTCCTATAATGTCGATATTGTCAGACCCTGATGAGATTCACAAGAGATGCAGTAACTTGCCGAAAATGTTAAAATCTAAATAACAGATCCAGGATTTTGAACCCAGGTTCTTTAGTTCCAAGAACTACGCTCCAACTGGTAAGTGGCTTTGTGGTCAGTAGAATGAACCAAGGCCTGGACAGATGAGCTGGCTTTTCCCGCTCCAAAAGCAGAACCAGGTGAGGACCTGGGTCCTCCTCTTCCCAGGACCGCTGCCCCGGAGAGGTATATACATTGTCCCTGCTTAGGCGTTTCCCCTGAGCCCATCCCCTCCCGCATCAACCTTGCTGAGCTGAGCTTCTCCCTACCCCCTTGAAGCAGATATACTTCCCAGTTCCTCACCAGTCTTGAGAGCCCTCAGGGCTTCCCGCCATTCAGCATCCATTTGAGCCCTGTAGTCCCCAAACAAGGAGCGCATCAGCTGTCTCTTCCGGGGCAAGGGCGTTTTTTCACTGCGCAAGGTTCGGATTGCCCCAACAGCCTGCTCTTCTGCAGATAAAAATAAGGAGCTGGTAACTTCATACACACTCCCTGCCATCCTACTACAAAAGCAAAGATTGCATCATCCCGTGGCGACACCATCAGGCCACAGCACTGTCACCGTTCATTTCCCTAACTATAAAGAAGGGGCTCTCACTCTGCTTGGGGGTGGGTCTCTGCGTCTTGAGACCCAGCTCCAGCTGTTCCACACACCAGGCCAGCTCCCTCGCCAGCTGCTCTGCCTGCGATAGAAAGAAGGATGTAGCTGTGAAAGGCATCAGGATCCCGCAGACCCCAGTCCCATCCCTTCGAGTGCATTAAACACACACCTAGACCACACTCGCAGGCAGGCTAGCACCCAGAGGAATCCCTCTCTTACCTGGGCCTCGGCACTGGGGGGAGCTTCGTCTAGGACAGGTTTCTCGGAGGTCTTTTCGTCTCCATGTGTCCCAGAGACCCTATTCGGGATTTTCTTCTTCTTTTGCTTCATCGACACTGTGTTGCCTGGCGCTCTGGTGGCGGACTCACAAGCAGGTTGCACTGAACTGAGAAGGGGAGGGTCTGAGGCACCGGAAGCCGGGCCGGGGAGCCGGGGTCTGCGCGGAGCACGTCGAGTTCTCCGGCTGGAGGCTGCTGGTGCCTCCCGAGCAGGATGCCCTGACTCCTAAAAACACGTGGGACGGGACGGAATTCACAGGGGCCCCACACCCAGGGCCTCGCCACAAACACGCCTTCTCCCACAGCTCACCGCCATGTGCCGGAGCGGCCACCGGAAGCTACGTAAGTCCTCACTAACGCGGTGAACTCAGTCCTCTGGAAACACGTCTACGGCACAGAGTTCCGCAGAAGGCAGCGGCCCCAGCGGTCCGTGTGGCAGGGCAAGCGCTCAGGCTGGGTTCCAGGCTGGGCATGCAGCTCTGGGAGGATCCAGACAGAGAGCGCAAGGACGAACGTAGAGGCTTCGGAGAACCCAGCCGAGTGCACCTCCGAGAAACCAGACCCGTACGCAGTGAGCTAGGGATGGAACAACACCCGCCCCCCCCCACCGGGGCGGGGCAGAACGCCCAGAGGTGGGGCAGGGCGTGGCAAATCACATCTGTCCCTAATTCCAGTTCCAGGGGATCCAAACACACGCACACGCAGGCAAAGCATGTATACTAAAAATAAACATTAATGAGGGAGGAGCTGGGGAGTTGGCTCACTGGTTAAAAGCACTTCTTGTTGAATAGGACCCCGGTTCGATTCCCAGCATCCACATGGATGCTCACCACCTCCTAGGCATGAATGTGGTGCTCTGATATAGATGCAGGCATAACACTCGTATACAAAAATAGTAAAAATAAATCTTTAAAAAAAGGGAGCTGTGTGTGCCAAGACCAATCGACTTATAGAACTACAGTAATAAGAAGATACTGTAATGTTGAAGGTCTAGTGGCTAATTGCCTTATCTTGGATTAGTTCTAGAACATCCTTCCCTTACCCGTCTGTGTCAGAACTAACTTCTTCTTGGGAGTAATAGATTAAAAACCTTGCTGGGCGGTGGTGGGACACGCCTTTAGTCCCAGCACTTTAGTCCCAGCACTCTGTGAGTTCGAGGCCAGCCTGGACTACCAAGTGAGTTCCAGGAAAGGCGCAAAGCTGCACAGAGAAACCCTGTCTCGAAAACAAAACAAAACAAAACTTTTAGAATCTGTTAACTTAGCAGACCACTAATTCCCACCAACACCAAAGCTCCAATTAACACCGTAGACCAATAAAAATGCTCACCCATCTCATTGTAACTGCCTCTCTGGTGTACCCACTGAGGTATTTTAAACTTGTCTTGATTTACGACTTTCTTTGTTCTGTAAAACTGAGACTCTGTGAAACTGTTTGCACATTGGAACCTGGATTTTAGGATAACCTAAATCTGTGTTCCTGGGTCACAGCCACTCAGAATGGCTCCAGAACCAACCATCTCTTATTCCCTTTTAGTGCTGTGAGCTTTGCTTCTGCGAGGCACTCGATTATTGGTACATTTCTTTTCAAACCTTGAGGAACAGCCCGTGACTACTGTTGTATGGCATTTTCCTCAGAATCCCTGACAGGATGGGAGGAGGAGGCCTGTGAGGTTCTGGAGGAAAACAAAAGGCCTGGGAAGACAGAACGATCCTCCCCAGCTGTGCAAAGGGAGTAAGAACTGCTGGGGAGGGAAGTTTGGCCGGCTTCGGTGTGGGGAGGGTTCTCAGACCTTGACACTGCTGCAGGCTGTGCAGAGCCCCAGGGCTACACTTTCCCCAGTCATCACCCAAGCTGGGGGTAGGATTTAACAAGGCGCAGTGGCGTGGGGGTCATCCCTGCTCCTGTAAGTAACCCTTCACTCAGACCCCTGTTAGTAACCCTTCACTCAGACTCCTATAAGTAACCCTTAACTCAGACTCCTGTTAATAACCCTTCATTCATACCCCTGTTAGTATCTCTTCACTCAGACTCCTGTTAGTAACCCTTCCTCGGACTCCTGTTAGTAACCCTTCCTCAGACTCCTGTTAGTAACCCTTCCTCAGACTCCTGTTAGTAACCCTTCACTCAGACTCCTGTTAGTTAACCCTTCCTCGGACTCCTGTTAGTAACCCTTCCTCAGACTCCTGTTAGTAACCCCAATAAAAATCATTGCTTCACCACCTTGGACTTTGGTGCTATCGTTACTTTGGTTTGTCATGGGTTCCCTTTCTGGGATGAGTAGATGTGTGTGTGTGTGTGTGTGTGTGTGTGTGTGTAGACCAGAGGTCATTCTCAGGTATCATTCCTCAGAAGGGATCCCCCTTATTTTTGTTTTAATATGAAACTATGCCTTAGTGGCCGGGCAATGGTGGCACATGCAGTTAATCCCAGCACTTGGGAAGTAGAGGCAGGTGGATCTCAGTGAGTTTGAGGCCAGCCTGATCTACAAAGCAAGTTCCAGGACAGAGGAACCCTTTCTCAAAAAATAAAAACACACAAAACACAAAAAGCCTATGTCTTAGTTATGGTTTTTTATTGCTGTGAAGAGACACCATGACCATAATGAAAACATTTAATTGAGGGTGGCTCACTTACAGTTCAGAGGTTCAGTCCATTATCATCATGACAGGGAGCATGGCGGCGTGCAGGCCAATGTGGCTCTGGAGCTGAGAGTCCTACATCTTGCAGGCAACAGGAAGTCAGCTGACTGTCACACTGAGGGAAGCTTGAGCAAAAGAGACCTCAAAGCCCGCCTCCACAGTGACATACTTCCTCCAACAAGGCCACACCTCCTAATAGTGCCACTCCCTTTGGGAGCCATTTTCTTTCAATCCACTACTTTACTCTTCTTTAAAAATTTCTCATTACATATTTGTTTAATTGGTGAGTGTATGTGTGAATGTGTGTGCATGCACTCATGTAGACCATGACACACGCGTAGCGGTCACAGGAAGATTTTAGGGAGTCAGTTCTCTCCACCATGTGGATCCCAGGGCTCGAACTTGAATCCTCTGACATGGTGGCAGGTGCTGTCACCACTGAGCTACCTCACGCCACCTCCCTTAAGACAGGGTTTCTCACTGGGATGAAGGCTAGTCAATTAGACTAGGTTGGATTGCCAGCAAGCCTCAGATGCACTAGCCTCTGCCCCTCCTAGCACTGAGATTACAAGCATGTCACTAAACCCCACTTTTACATGGGTTCTGGGGATCCACCTCAGGTCCTCATGTCTGTACTTTACCTACAGAGTTAGTTCCCCAGCCTCTGATTGATTTGAAATAGGGTCTCGTGACCTAGGCCAGCCTTAAACTCACTGTAAACTGAGGATAACCTTGAACTTCTGATCCTTTTTTGATCCCCCACCTCTAGGATGCTAGGATTACAGGTGAGTTTATGAATTGCTGGGGATCTAACCAAGAGAAAGGTTTGTGCATGCCAGGCAAGCATTGTACCAACCGAGCCCCTTCCAAAGCACAATATACATACACATCCGAATGCACATACCAAGAGTGTCTGTGTGTGTTTGTTTGTTGTTGCTAGTCGAAGAAAATACTAGCAGTCAGGCGGTGGTGGCGCATGCCTTTAGTCCCAGCACTTGGGAGGCAGAGGCAGGCAGATCTCTGTGAGTTCGAGGCCAGCCTGGCCTATAGATCGAGATCCAGGACAGGCTCCAAAGCTACACAGAGAAACCCTGTCTCGAGGGAAAAAAAGTAGCTTAGGATAAATACATTTGTCTATATAAACAAAAATAATTTTCTCGAGTACATATTTGAGAATGAAGTGTTTCTTTTTTGTTTGTTTTGTTTGTTTGTTTTCTGAGACAGGGTTTCTCTGTAACAGCCCCTGGCTGTCTTGGAACTCACTCTGTAGACCAGACTGGCCTCGAACTCACAGAGATCCACCTGCCTCTGCCTCCTGAGTGCTGGGATTAAAGGCGTGAACCACCATGACCCACTCCCCAGCCTAAATATTTTCCTTTTTTACTTGTTTTTTGTTTTATGTGCATGGGTGTTTTGTATGCATGTATGTCTATTCAGGACTTGTGTGCCTAGTGCCCAGGGAGGCCAGAGGGCTGCAGATCTGTTGGGAATGGATTTAATAGATAGTTGTGAGCAGCCATGCAGATGCTAGGAATCAAACTGCCGGTACCCCGGAAGAGCAGCCAGTGCCCTTAACTTCTGAGCCATGTCTCCAGGCATTGTTTACTTCTCTTCAATTTATAGTCTGCAATTTTCCAGGTAATTTTATTTATTTATTTATTTATTTATTTATTTATTTATTTATTTATTTATTTATTTATTTTATTTTATTTTTCCGGAGCTGAGGACCGAACCCAGGGCCTTGTGCTTGCTAGGCAAGCGCTCTATCACTGAGCTAAATCCCCAAACCCCCAGGTAATTTTTATAAGGTTATCTACTCAGTATATCTGAAATTCCAACAGGGTTTTTTTGTGTGTGTTAACATTTTGTATAGTAACAATTTTTGTCTAATATGCCCATAAACCGAGCATATAATTAATTTTTGTAAATGTTCTACAAAAAAAAAATAAATTACTGGCTTAAGGAATTTTTCGTTTTGTTTTGTTTTCTCACTCACCTGTCAAATTGTTGATTCGTTCTTACGTGTTTACTTTTCATTTACCAGTGTGAGGCATTGAAGCGGCGGCCTGGCACACCCTAGGCAATCTCTTTGCCGCTGAGCTACACCCCAACCACGTTACTTTTTCAATCAAGCTAGAATCTGTTCTAATTCTTGGAGCCTTTGAATTAAAATCTCCCATTATCCCGGTGCGTTTAGTTCTTGCTGTGCTTCTGATGGTATCCTCTATACTAAGCTGAAACCTGGTTGTGCGCTCGGGCCCCTTACAACCGCCTCTATTTAAGGGGATGCCGGAGTTCACAGGGTAGATAGATCTTGGAACCATCGAGTCGCCAGGGTAGCCGGACCTTCTTGGGTCTAGAGCGGCCATGCCGAGGGGCACGGGGCGGGGCCGCGGGCCGGAAGTCGGGCGGGATTTGGAGAGTCGATCGCGGTTGATTTGGGTTAGCCCCGTGCCCAGCGCGACTGCAGTGGTGAGTTCATTAGGCGAAGCGTCCGCTTGGGAACCGGCATCCTGTGTCCCTGGCACCAGCATCCTGTGTCCCTGGCGTGGCGGCAGGGCTGGTTCGAACTGGGGCAGAGGCGGCGTGGGAGGGCTTGTGATGGAGCTGGGGCGGGGGGACTTGACAGGTGTGCGATGGAAGTGCTCCGGACTTGGGAACTCCGTTGACGTTAGAGAAGAACACAGCCCGGGGTT